TGTGGTGGCCCACTAACTCAACTGGCCGTAGCACAGGGCCAAAAGCAGAGCCTAATGAGGCAACAGAGGCGGTGATTTTGGGGCGTCGATAGAGCCTCACAAAGGAAGGTGATCGAATTCGGGGTGGCAACATAAATAGCCCGGACCACACAAATACTCGATAAATTAATTTTTTTGTAGGACTCCGCTAAAACTTTAATAATAAAATAACTTTAAGATGTTTAAGGCCTCTTATTGAATATCCCTATTACTTTTAGTATATATTAAAAATAAGCATTATAGTATAATCAAACTCTGCTAACACTGATTCCTTTTAATTTTCTGAGCTCGAAAGCTGTGGTTGTACTGTGCTAAATAAATATAAATGTGAAACAAGAAAGAAAGCTTGCTTCGGCAAGCTGAAGCTTATATACCCTTGCAGTCATCAAATATGTCGAACAAAATGCATAAAGTTTATACAACATCGAAGCTAAGACGATTTTTCTATTCATTTTCATTTTCCATATTTTGGACTATAAATCATATGGGAACTATATGATATAGTTGTCCGATTTTGATCAAATTTAATTCGTAATTCAAGAGTCGTAAGAAAACTCTATATTCCAAAAATCATACTTGTCTGATGAAAAACAACGATGTTATAATTTTATTTCCGTTATTTCTATATAGATTTTTCGATCTTTTCTATGGGAGCTATAAGATATAGTTGTCCGATTTTTATGAAACTTTTTCTCAGTATAAGAGTTGTTAAAAAACTTGATATTCAAAAAAACAAGCTCGTGGGATAAAAAACAACGATGTTATAATTTATTTCCATTAATTCTATATATATTTTTCGATCTCTCCTATGGCAGCTATATGATAGAGTTATCCAATTTTGTTCAAATTTAAACTGAAATTCAATAACAGTTAGAAAACGCCATCTTGAAGAATTCAAGTCGATCTGATCAAAAACAAAGGCGTGAGAATTTTTTATTTCGTTCTCTCGTATGGGAGCTTTCCGATATAGTCGACCGATCCGGCCCGTTCCGACTTATATACTGCGTGCAATAACTACACACCTTTTGGGAAAGTTTCAGCAAGATAGCTTTAAAACTGAGAGACTAGTTTGCGCGGAAACGGACAGACGGACAGACGTACATACATATTTGGATTCTGATCGTGATCCTGATCAAGAATATATATACTTTATGGGGTCTGAGGTGTCTCCTTCACTGCGTTGCAAACTTCTGACTGAAATTATAATACCCTTTTGCTCTGCAAGGGTATAATAAAGCTGACTTATTATTTAAACGTGGAATCCAAACACCTCTGGTACAATATTTACTGCCTAAACTGTAACTGAAAGCGATGGTTTTACGACCTTTAAAATTCTGACAGTTAAGAGGAAGAGCAAACTCATTACTATCGGAAGAATCCCAATCGGGGTATCTACTCTGTTTATTTACAGCTATTTTAGTTCTTTGGTTCAAAAGGTCAATTGATTTTTCTTGTTGCATGCTAAGCAAACATGAAACTCGCTTGTTGTTTTTCTTCACTGTTTATGCATTAAGCATTTCAATCAGTTTGTAGCAGAAGCTTAAAGCTTTTCCTTCCGTTAAGTTTCAAATTTCTGTGTCGTAGTTTGTTCAATGACTTTCAGCTTTTTCAGGAGCTAGGAAGTACTTAAATGGGTCAATGGAACATTGTTTAGCTCTTGCTTCAGGAATAACTCTTTAAAGAACTTGAATGGGGTATGAACAATAACGTTTCATCTGAAGCCAAAAATTGTTTGTTTACTTATTTGTTTAAAAATAAAACTTAAGTTTCTTAGACTGAAAAGAGTTCGTATGTGGTATAGGATCATTTTTCCAAGAACCATAAATTGCAATTCCATTATTTTCAGTTTTGCATACCCTGCTACAAATCCTGTTGAATTGTTCTGCTAACCAGAGAAGCTCCCAACCCTCTTCCACCACTTATTTTGTGCCGCCAGAAAAATTAATGTGCAGCCTACTTTTATACCGCGAAAGTGGAACGTCCGAGCGCCTGTCAAAAATAGCCGGCAAAATGTGTGCCAAACGTTGCCATGAAAAGTGAATGGAGTTGGGGAGGAATCAGGGGTTAGTCGCACATTTCCAGCAGAGGACATCCATCAAAGTTAACGCATGCTTCCCAAAACCCAACGAATACGGCACACTGACAATTCCCACTCATAAAACCGAAGGAACAGTACCAAGTATTGGAAATAGGAACACCCAGAACCGCCTGCCAGCGAAAGTTGAGCCGAAATAGGCAAAGGGTTTTTGGTCACGTGAGGCTCGTAAGAAAGCAACTTGCGCTTACCTTAGTTTCGTTTTTGTTTTCTGATTGGGGGCTGGAAAGTAGGCTACCAAGGTAATAAGTTCCATCGACTCCTGCGGCTCTCCCAAGGGGAGAACGGCATAAGTCTTTTCGAAACGGAACCTGAAGACCAACTTTGCCCTCTTAAATATGGAAAGTGAATTGCCCAGCAGTCCTGCACCCTTTTCACTATCTGCCTCTCACTTTGTGTCTCATGCGAAGCCACCTTTTCATTAGCAATAAAATTCATATGACTGCGGCGCATGTTGCCCAAAACCCTGAAAGACGGTCGAGGGGCATCATTAGGCTGGGGCACGCTCCCATTCCCGTTCCCGTGATCGCAGGGCGCCACATGCAAAACGCCATGTGTGACATTTTTACTGCCAAACATTTGTTTTGCGCACCGGAGTTGCTGCCCCTGCATGAACAATTTACGACGTACGTACATATGTACGGTGATGGGGCTGGGAAGGTAGGGGGGAAAGGGGGTGGGGTGAAGGGGAGGGGAGCAGTTGGGGCAGTCAACACGTACCAGGGCACCGTGGTCGCCTGCCTGTCGTTTGCCTGTCGCGGTCGCTTTTCTGTTGACTTTGCATAATTTTATTGCTTTCTTTTATTTTCATGCGAGGGCCCCCTCCTCCCCCTCCTGCCCCCTGTTGCCTTCTTCAGCCCCATTTCACTCTGACTCCTTCCTATCGTGCACACGCAGTGCCCCACAGGCGACATTGACATAATAATCAATATTTCTGCTACTTCGGTCCCTCACTGTTTTCTCGCTTTTGGATCAGTTGTAGCCCTTGCTAAGTTTTATGTTGCCGTTCACGTAACTGGAGGTTTTTCTAGTACCCATCATCCCTAAATCACTTTAATAATGGGTATTTCCAGTTCCAAGCGACTCGAGTAAGCTCTGGGTCCTGTTTTGTTGAGAAAAGTACTACTTCGATATCTGAATATATCAAAATGCGAATGGGTATATCCAAATCTGGTACAGTATTTTTGTTTCAGAAGTTAGAGCAGGATAACATTCATTAATTATATTAATGATATTAAAAAAAATGTATAAACGACCTAAAGTACAAATGAAGGCAGATTTTCGTAGCTATTGGAGGTACTCGGCATTTTATATATTGCTGCCACAGGGAAGATCGAAAAACCTATACACAATTTGATTTAATTAAAAAAATATAACGGGGTTGTTTTTCAGCATTCAAGGAAGATATATCTTACAGTTGTAATATAATACTAACAACTTAAGAAAGCCAATACAAATTTTTAAACATACACTTTTTTTTTTAAATGCATATGTACATATAGCATATGTATGTATATAGCAATTTCTTACGATTCCGGAGGAACAGCATTATGCTAGTGGGGATCAGATGTCTACAAAAGCATAACGAAAATCGATATAACTTCTGTTCTTTAATATAGGTATTCAAATAAAGGCAGAAATCAAAATCTATAACGGACTTGCAAATGGTCCAGCATTTCTTTCTCTTTCAGTTATTCTGAAAAAGTGCGTGTAATTCAAATACGAGCTACTTTGACCACCACTGGTCTTTCTAAGAGTAAGACCTTATACATACTATTATGATTTTGTACATTCCCTCTTGTTTTCCCAAATGTTATATTTTATGACTTGTTTTGCCTTCGACCAACTGAAAATAAAACAAGAAAGGAAGCTAGCTTCGGCAAGCCGAAGCCTATATACCCTTGCAGTCATCAAATATGTAGAACAAAATATATGAAGACTAAGCAAAATCACAGTTATGACGCATTTTCTATTAATTTTCTATATTTTCGACTATTGTTCATATGACAACGATGGTTTAATTTTATTTCCGTTATTTCTGTATAGATTTTTCAATTTTTCCTATGGTAGCTATATGATAACGATGTCGGATCTTAATTAAATTTTTTCCTCGATTCAAGGGTTATTAAAAACTGCATAGTTTGAAAGTCAAGCTCGTGGGATTAAAAACAACGACTATAATTTTTTTTTCCATTATTAATATATATATTTTTCGATCTTTCCTATGGCAGCTGTATGATAGAGTTATCCGATACCCTTTGCTCTGCAAGGGTATAACAAAAAGTTAATCATGCTTGTTTGTTTTGCTGAGCTTGACTTTGACAATGTTCCCTTTCTGTTTGATTTGTGGCGCGTCTCCAAAATGATTTTAGTGCTCGTAAAAACGCGGATATATGTAGGTGGCAGAGGAGTTTATTACACAGAGTATGGAACTGTGTATCATATAGTTAAAATCTCGTGTGTGCCTGGTTGGTCAGTCCATGACTTTCTAAATAATTACCAGGGAATTTTTCTCTCCTTCAAGTTTTCACGGATGGTGATGAATCAGGAAGGCACTTTCCCGCTTTTTATAGGGTGCAGATACACGTCAGCAAAATATAATGTGCCCATAATTTTTATCTTACTCTCGATGTGGATTTAAATTTTTTGCGTATGTTGCCGTACGACTTGATGTTGCTGCTGCTGTGTTTTAATTTATGTCATTTGTGTGTTTGAGTTGTTTCTGTTCCTTTTTTTTTGGTCAAAAACGACATAAAGGCATTTAAACACGCCATTAAATAATTCATAACAATAATTTTCATGTACACGCAGGAAACGAGACAATGTATTATATGTATTTATATGTATGCTGTTAACAAAAGCCCACAGCACATTCCCCGTATTATAAGTCATAATGAAATGGATGATTGCTGTTTATCATTCCCAGACAACATCAGGGACACGTGTGGCAATGATTTCTGTTACTTGGCCCCTACTTAAAGCCGAATATGTTTGCCAAGTCGATTGGGGGGAGCAGCTTTAAAAATCACATAGATGTGGGCAAGTTTCAGCTTACCTGGCGTGTTGGGGCCCCACATTTCCCAAGTCATGAGCCGAGCTAGCCGTTATTTGGGAGTCTCCAATGGCGCCAGACTCCATGCCCAAGGCCGTCCTGCACGTTCCTAGAAAGATAGATCAAGTCACCACAAATTCTATAACACAATGGAGATTTCTAATTGAAAAACAAATCAAAAGGGTTCCATCGCCTGTCAGCGGAGCGCGTGAATTAATGGTAGACTGCATAGGGCGAACAAAACAAACAAATCGGAGGGATTCTTTTCTCTCAGCCTTTCAGCGACTCAATTTCATTCGCCATTAATCTGTGAGAAAGAATGAAAAGCGCAATTATCTCTCCCCCTCCCTTAAGAATGATGCTCTCTGAATACAAGGTGCCTCGAAAAGGTCATAGCCATCACCATTCCCTTATCTGAACCCTCCAAAAAGCATCTAGAATATTACCACTCTGTGAATAATTGGACGCAATTAGTCAGGTCTCAAGCACCAACGGCCAAAGCCGAAGAATTAGGCTGAGAAAGCTGTCAGTCAGACGGTCATCTGCAGATATGGATTCAAATATTTACTCTGCGGGCTATTGAAGAGCAGTTCTTTTGACTGGGACTTATGCAACAATAGTTTTGGGAGAAATGTACCACTTTTTCGGTTTAAAAAACGTTAATTTTTAGTTAATGCAGTCAGTGCAACGACCAAAGGTCTTGAAACAGTAATAAACAAGAAATTAAGCAAGCTTTGGCAAGCCGAAACTTATACACCCTTGCTATCATCAAATATGTCGAACAAAATACATAAAGGCTAAACAACATCGAAGTTATGATGATTTTTCTATTAATTTTCCATATTTTCGACTATTGTTCATATGATTTTGATGAAATTTAGTTCGAAATTCAAAAGTCCCTCCAAAAATTATTCCTGTCTAATGGAAAACAACGATGTTATCATTTTGATATCCTTGCAGAGGGTGTTGTATTCTTATTTTTGTTTATTTTAAATTTCAAATCCACAACGAAAGAACTCAGTGTTATAAATTCCTTTAAAAATTAAGTGCTAAAAAAAATATAAAAAATGAAGAAGGGTAACTCTAAAAAAAGTAGTGTTAAGTAATGTGTGGACTAGCGACAGCAAGCAGCGAAAGCGACAAGAAATAAAAATTAAAATCTGAGTGTTATTTTTGGTCGTTCGATCTGGATACTAATCTATAGCCACAGGTAAACCCCCAACATGGTCGTTCGATCTGGATACTAATCTATAGCCACAGGTAAACCCCCAACATGGTCCTTCGAAGTCAACTGAACAGCAAATGGATTGCGAAATAGATTTCGCAGTTTGCCCAGACAACCACACATACACACTCACACAAATGACGACTTAAGTTGTGTGTATTAGTGAATTTGCGCAAAAAACTACGACGCCAAAGAATAATTTCACCACGATCTCTGTGACGGTAAAATAAGACGCGGACAGCATTATGGCACCAACAAAAGGATCTAAAAAGAAGTTACAAGGCAAAAGCCAACAAAAGGATCTAAGCACACAACAAAAAAATGAAGACGACAGGGTTATCGACACGCCCAGACTTGATCAATCGGAGCAAGAAGTAACCATCATGGAAAATCGCAACAAAAAACTGGTTGCATCTACGCCGGCGATTCTAGCCACACACAATCCTCCTGGACAACTCTGTGATGAACTTGCCAAATCACACATCTCTGAAGGAAGCCAATTATCCCGCAACTCAACCAAGGTGCAACGACTTCAGGTACAGCTTGAGTACTTGAAAAAGCAGCAGAAACTTCGAGATCAGCAGGCACGACAGGAACAGGAGCGAGCACGCCTTGAGTTTGAACAGGAACAATTGGAGCTCGAGCAGAAGTTACAACTGGCACAATTAGGATCAGCCGCAGGTAGCAGAATTGGAGACAACATGGACGAAATCGATGACGACGACAACAAAGATGTCCGCACGCGTGAGTGGGTAGATGGGGCTCAACGTAGACTTAAGTTTGAAAGCGATAATGTGTCCTACAACGAAGTCAATAACCATTACAACATCGAAACGTTTATGGCCAGACAGACAATTAAACAAGATCTTCCATCATTCTCAGGGGACCCATTAGAGTGGCCCATATTCTATGCTGAGTTTGAAAATAGCACAAAAACTTGTAACTTTACTAACTATGAAAACCTAAGTAGACTTAGAAAGGCTCTAGTAGGACGTGCCAAAGAATGTGTTCAGGCTCTATTGGTTTTACCAGAGAATGTCGACTCAATTATCGATATTCTAAAAGAGCGCTATGGGGATCCATCTTACATAATAAGATTGCTTCTTGACAAGATCAAACAACTACCAGTAGTTAGGGACGACAAATACGAGAAGCTTTTTGCATTCTACGACATAATCAACAATCTTATCCACACTTTGTTAAATGTAGGAGATGTGGATCAATTAAGAAACCCATTAATCTTTGATGAAATTTTAGACAAACTACCCGTACCTCAACGTATCGCTTTCATCAAACATTGTCAAAAGCTGAAACCTTCTGAGCCAAAAATAATTGTATTTCAATCATGGCTAGGCGAGACAGTTAAAGCTGCCACAGTTTTAGGATTTGGCCAAAATATCAACAAATCAAAAGATTGCACACTGACAGTTTCAGGTGTTCGGGATGACACATACAAAGGTAAAAACAAAGGTTTTTGTAATTATTGCAAGCTGAGTGATCATTATGTTACAACTTGTTCCAAATTTAAAGATTTACCTACTGACAAGCGCTGGGAACATGTTTCTCAAAATAGCTTGTGTATCTCGTGTCTGGGTAAAAATCATTTACTTAAAGACTGCAAACGTAAAAGGCAATGCAATATTAACAATTGTAGCTTCAATCATAACAACCTTTTGCATAAAGACAAATCTGAAAACATAATAACAAACAAGTCTGACGATGGTGATCAATCAGTTTTCAACAACATTGAGAAAAACTGTAACGTAAATTTGGGTGCAAACAAGGTTTTGTTAAAAGTGGTACAGGTCACCCTTATAGGACCAAAAAATACTATTGACACATATGCTCTTCTTGATGAGGCTTCAACCATATCATTGATTGACGAGAACTTGGCTAACAATCTAGGTCTTGACGGTCCAACAAAGCCATTAAAAATGCAATGGACTAACAATGAAGTTTACGAGCAGGAAGATTCTAAAGTAGTTAGCATACGCATTAAAGGTAATGACATGAATACTAAGACACACATGATGAGAAGAGCTAGGACTGTCTCCAACCTTAATTTGCCAGAACAAACTTTAAGCGTAGACCAGATGACAGACAACTTTAAGTTTTTAAAGAATTTTACACATTGCTCTTACAATCAGGCACAGCCAAGAATACTTATAGGACAAGATAACTGGTCTCTTATAGTGTCCCGCAAGCTAAAGTACGAAACCTTTAGCGGCCCAGTCGCTAGCAAAACATTGTTAGGCTGGGTCGTACATGGTTTAACACAACCTAAAAGACTTCTAGCTGAGACAAATCATACCTTTCATGTACACGAGCATTTTCACGAAAAGGACGATCTAGATGAACTACATAATCTAGTTAAGTCTTATTGGTCAATTGAAAACGAATTTGCAACTCAAAAAGACTTTCCAATGTCTGTAGACGACAAACGATGTATAAGTATTGTTAATAATACATTAAAACGAGTTGGCAACAGCTTCGAATGCGGTCTTTTCTGGAGAAAAGATAACACTCAGCTTCCTGAGAGCTATAAGAACGCTTTCTCTAGGCTATTGACATGTGAACGCAAGATTGACAAAAATCCTGAGTATGGTCAAAAATATTACGAAGTAATGCAATCTTATATTTCGAAAGGGTATTTAAAAAAATTAAATCCCACAGAAGCCAGACACGAAACAAAACTGACCTTTTATCTGCCTCATTTCGGTGTGCAAAATAGCAATAAACCAGAAAAATTGCGAATAGTGTTCGATGCCGCTTCTAAAACTCATAACTACTGCTTGAATGACTTCTTATTACCCGGACCTGACCTCTATACTCAACTATCTTCAGTTCTCATGAATTTTAGAAAACATAAAATTGCCTTTGTAGGAGATATCAAAGAAATGTTTCTACAAATTAAAATACCAGAAAAAGACAGACAGGCTCAAAGAATTCTATGGAGAGGAAATAAAAGACATGATCCTCCGGACGTATATGAAATCCAAGTGCTGTTTTTTGGAGCCAAAAGTAGTCCGAGTATTGCACAACAAGTAAGAAATCATAACGCTAACGAGTTTAAGGAAAAGTATCCCAAAGCCTGTAAGGACATATTAACAAATCATTATATGGACGACTATTTAGGCGGAGCAGATGACATTGACAGCGCCGTTCAACTGATTGAAGACGTATCCTTTGTTCACCAACAAGGCGGATTCCAGATGTGTAACTGGATATCGAATTCAGCAGAGGTTCTGAACCAAATTGATCCTGTCAATTGTCACAAAGCTCAGGCTTCGCCCAAAATAAAAACACTAACAGAAGAACGTGTTTTAGGGTTAATGTGGAATCACGACAACGATACATTTACCTATAATCTGCAATTTACCAAGTCACATAATGAGATAATAAGCACATGCAGACGTCCAACTAAGCGCGAGGTCCTAAAGATTACAATGTCTATCTTCGATCCATTGGGTTTCTTGTCAAACCTTCTTATAACAAATAAGATACTTTTACAAGCCATATGGGACAGTGGTATTGGCTGGGACGAGGAAATAATAGACGAACATTTTGCCATTTGGAAAACTCTTTGCGAATCATTCCTAAAAATCAAAAATTTTACAATACCAAGACTTATGACAAAATTACCCATAAATGATTGTGACATTCAACTACACATATTTTCTGACGCCTCCAAAAATGCATACGCCGCATGTGCATACATTCGTTTCAAAAAAGATGATACCATTGACTGCATGTTGATAACAGCCAAGTCACGAGTCGCTCCCCTTAAGCCTATGTCAATCCCAAGGCTGGAGTTACAGGGCGCCTTGCTAGGAGCCAGAATGAGCAAATCACTTTTGGAATCGTTACAATTACCAATTAGTAAG